CCCCCTTCCCCCCTCAATCATATCTTAGGGCCTTGAGGGTTGTGCCGCTGAGTATGAATTAAAATCGCCTTATTCCCATTTTTGAATTACTCTTTTCTATTGTTAATTATGTGACTTCAAAGTTTGTTTTTTGTGCGCGTTTTACAGCTCTTCATTAAAGAAATGAAGGCGTATGAACCGAAAGTAGACGCCATGGTCGAGGAAAGCCAAGAACTTGTAGAAAGCAGCAGACTGGACAAAACAGATATTGATGGAGTTGACAAAACTAAAAATGCTCTCAGTTCTAGATGGAAGGCTGTCAATGATCATCTCAATGAGAGGCAACGAAAGTAAGTGACGCAATGCGTTAGCTGGTGCCATGGGCGGCAAAATTTTCGACAAATTTAATTGACAATGGCGCTAGTTTCGAGGCATGTATGGTATGTTTTTCATACTCTCCTCATCGCAAGATCCACGTGGTTTGACTATCGAGACACTAGCAATTTCGTACTGATATTCATCGCATTTAAAGGCTGAAAACGCTAACTTTAAGGACCCCATTGCATTTCTTTTCTGAATCATCTTTCCATCCTTGGATAGAATTTAATTTTTTTTCCCAAGCACCCAATTATTTCGTAAGGTTTCGATGACTGGTTTCTGGTATGCACTTAGACTTAATTGTATACTCATTGTTGCAGAGAAGTACTGTATTTCTTATAAATTGCATTTTACTAATGAGCATCAAAACCAGAATTCTCGGTAGCTCTTATAGCTTGACGCATAATGCAGTAATTGTATCCCTTCTTCCTTGCCAATATCGTTTAGGCACTGGGATGTTATCTCTCGTCCTACAATGATTTAATTGTGAACGTTTAACCCGTCTCGTCAATTTTCTTATTTATGCAATGTAGACTAGACTCCGCTCTCCTTGACATACTAAAAAAGGATACGGAAGGCAGGCTTGGGCGATGGAGAGAGCAATCGATAGCTCTTGGTTTGCTTGTCACAGAAGCCAAAAGGAAAGTTGATGATGATGTTGACGACGCAGATTTTGGAGATATTCAAGCAAGTGCAGTGCAGCTCCAGGTGAGTAAAGTATCTTTTAATAAGAGCACTGGCATATATCAGTGTAAGTTTTATTTAAGCTTACCTGTTACGAAAGTCTCTTCGTGAAACAACTTGCCAATCATTTACACAACAAATTGACACATATGCAAAATTAGTACTTACCTGAAAAAGTTCGATCGAGCGTGCACCTTTTCGAGAGTTGGGAGGGTGCTGTAAACATTTCGGCAAAGTAAAGGCAGTCCTATACGAAGAAAGGCTTGTTCCCAGGGAGGTCCTTACTCGAGAATTTATATTACGTACAAAGCAAAGTATTGCCTCTATAGATTAGATATTTCGCCAGGCTTAGAGATCTCAGATCACGACAATCTTGGAGTTTCTTGACGTCAGCGATTAAATCTAGCGTTAATTGTCATTTGCTAAAATAGAATGAGGTTATGAGCGCCTGCAGTCTATCAAAGGTAGATATTTTATAAAAAAGATTGTCTTTTCATCACGCAGTTCGAGAAAATCTCTAAATATGGACTTTGATATTCGTTTAAAATAGGAAGTCGAAAATTCGCTCAACGAGGACCTCAATAGAGAGCTGCTTGAAGTAACGAATGATGGTCATCACGTCATCGAAAAGGAGGAGACACAGCCGGATGATAAACATGAGATAGGCCAGAAATTAGACGAACTTAACAGACAAGTTTCTGAGCTGGAAAAGGGAACAAGAGAGAAAAAGGACAGGTAAGAAAATCGTCAGCACTTTAACTCCCAAAATCTGAGTCGAGTGCTTTCCTCTGGCAACAACATCTTGCTTCCTAAAGTAGTTGAAATGAAACCTTGGACCCAATAAGTTTTTTATTTTTGTAGATCTCATCGCCTGCTTGTTGGGATACTTTACTGATACGCTAAGGAGAGGTTACAGCACTTGATTACGTCTGGGAGTTACAGCTCGCTAGTTACAGATAAAAGTTTTTATCATGCTCATCCGTATCCAATTGTTAAATGATCATGACTGCGTTTAAATTTCGCTACATGTATTTTTGGATCTAGTGCGGTTCTAGTTTTGCAATTGCATCGGAGAAATTTTATTTCCACAGAAAAATTTCCCTTTCGTGTTTCAGTCTTTATTATTTGGTCATGAAGAAAAAAGGTTCGTATCCACTTTTACGCTCACCAAATGTGATTTTATTAAACGCATCTGAACTAGGATAAAAGAAGCCTCCTTGAAATATTTTGGCCGCTCACTGGCCGATTGCGAAGAAGCTGTTGAGAGGCTTGGTGAAGAAGCCGTCAATAATTTTATTGATATTGGCTCAGATATCGAGGAGGTCGGAAAACAGTTGGAAGAGTTACAGGTGAGAAGTCACTAACGTTAAAGCCAGGCTATGCAGTATTTCTGAGTTACAGAATATTTTAATGAGTGCACCACCTTCCATTTCGCAAATATGCCGCTTTTGTTTCTTCTGTCCTAACAAACTGTCTGACTTAATGTTTGTCTCTTATTTTGGTTCCCGTGCTTATTTGCTCGTTCGCTCGTTCGCTATTGTTTAATTTAAAAGAAGGATTGTAAAAGTCATTTTAAAATGCTTACCAATTTGTTACTCTTAATCTTAAAAAGGAATTTGAAAACGACATGGTTAAAGAAGAAGACAAATTTAGCGACATCAAAGACCAGTTTGTGGACTGTAAGGAAACAGAGTTACTCAGAGATGAAGACCGAGTTAGAATCCACAGAAGAATAGGAGTACTCGATGAAAAGTGGGAAGAACTAAACAAAAACCATGATGCCAATCATCGAAAGTAAGCCAATTTGTTTCTTTTAGGATGTTGGCATATAGTGAAGAAGAAAAGTCCATTGACCGACTTACAGACCGATCGATGACGGTCGGACTTACCGACTGGCTGGCCGACGTAAGGATGGACTGATCGCCAGACCCACTTACTGACTGAGCAATCGACTGACAAAATGATTAACTGACTGACTGGTTGACTAAACAACCGACTGATCAACTGACTAACTGTCTGCCAGAAGAACTAACCAAACATTAACGTGATGTTGAAACGGCAGGATTAAGCCTTAGTTTGAAGTAATGAAATATGTAGTTGACAACTTTTATTCGCTTGGCTTTGTAGGTTAAATCATGCAATGATAGTTCGTCATGAAGAGTTAATGGAAGAGGTCTATGATTGGTTGAGTGATGCTGAGAAACAAGCAGACTCTATAGTGGTGAATGAGGATGACATTGGTTCAGTGATGGAAGAGTATGGCAGGCATAGGGTATAACTGGCTATATATTTGAGTCCGTTGTTAACAACAACAACAGCAAATTAAAAAATGGTAAAATGGTACTCATGGATCCACGTGAGAGGTTGCTGAGCACGAAAGAAGCGTAAGAGTCGCGCGAGGCGACAGAAGTGTTCGCTGTGGCGGTTTACCATTTGTTTTATAACATAAAATTGATACATAGCTGAAGAGTTCCCTTTCATTTCACACTGAAATCTTACGTGACCAGAAAAAAACAACCACGCGGAAACTCGTCTTTGCATTTGCTCACATTAGCAGCGTACACCCATAGACAAGTGGTGGACACTGAATAGACCAATCAGAGCGCGTGTTTTCCTTTTTTTGGTTATACTATAAAAACTTCTCTTTACCACTCATCATTATCTCGATAGATTTGTGAAGCCAGCTGTATTTTTCTACAAGATGCCTCTGTATCATTTGCCTTTTATCATAACTTGTCTTCCATTCCTGTCCAGTTTGATGGTTGACATTTGAGATTACAACTTTCGCGACTTGTCTATCTGTTCGTTTATCGATGTTTATAAACTGATTTATCTCATTTCAACAGGATTTGAAGGATGAAATCTCTTCATTTGAGCCGACGTTCAAGAACCCAATAGCAATCAACGATAGGCTGCTGAACGAAAGGATCGTGGATCCTGAAAGAGCTGAAAGCTATGAAACGGAGAAGAACACTCTGGAAAACAGATGGAATAATCTCCAGCTTAAAACCATGGACAATGGAGCTAAGTAAGCACAGTTGGAAAGACACGCGAACTTCTTTGTGGGAACTTCGTCCAGGATGTCGTCGATTGTAGATAAAGACTATTACGCTCGTTTTGTGACCCGGTCTTTCTCTTCATCTTAACTAGTGCTGGATATTGTGGATGATATGCTTCCTAGGTGTTACAGTGTCATTTTGTTACCGGGTACCATTAAAAGCAACCAATTATTACCTTCTTCTTAAACTGTGCCACTAGGTCCTAACGAAGGAAAGAAAGAAAAAATTCAGATGGAATTCACTGCTCGTTTGTGATGATCATATTAGTCATTCGTTTACTCAGAAATCCTTGTAGTTAAGATAAGGTAATATCACAGCGTAAATTCTTGGTAACGATTTGCTAAGGTAGTAGTAGCAACATCGACTCTTTTTGTCTTTGCCAGATTGTCTGGTGTGCTTGGAAGGTACGTAACGATACGATTGGATGAGGCAGAGGTAAAGCTGACGCATGCAGAAGCAAGCATCAACAGAGATGATGCTGACTACTTAGATCTGGATGGTGCAAAGGAAGCGCTGCATGCATTCAGGGTGAGTAACACTTGAAGCTCTTCCAGAATTGGGTATCATCTATTTCATGGGTGGCCAAACAGGAATTATTACCTTCAGCATCAATACAAGAAGAAAGGTGCTGGAAAGAAACAGAAATAGGACATTAGAAAGATTGTCAGTCCTAAAATTATGAGAAATGTAGAGCAGGCAGAGAGAGAATTGGGGTATAAGGACAATTTCGCACCGAGAACATCAGCTTAAGAAGGAGTATGCTCCCAAGACTATGCAATTATAAAAATATAATTAAAAACTAGCTGCTTACATTTGTTTTTTTTTTATGTAGGGGAAAAGGAGTGGCATTCATGATTCCCAAAAGCAGGTTGATAGAATACTGGACGAGTCCCGTGCCGTTGTCAGAGAAGACTTCTTCAAGGAACACGAACGGGAACATTTTCAGGGAAGAATTGAAATGATTGACAAAAGAAACAAAGGACTGGAAGATAATGCAGACAAAGAGGAAAGAAGGTAAAATAATCATTTTTGATTGACAGAATAAAACGGGTTATCTGCAGTAAAAGCAGCTCGCTTTGTTCTAGCTGGAGAATCATATTTACGTGGGGTTTAATTATAGCTGTGATGTCGGACTGATTGCAGTAGGCCATGGTCACTAAGAATTGTAGTAAATTGTTGAAAGTGTTAATGTACAGCTTAGATATTTCGTACCTGTTGGTGTATTGTTTGTTCTCAATGATTTTTCTTTAAAATGTGGTACTTAAACAACACTTACAACAAAGAAACATTTTGGCTTAAAATTCACTGTCATTCGCGGTTCGTTATTTATTTTTGTTGCCTTTTTTTTCTCAGGCTCCTTGACACATACATTTTGCTGCTTAAACAACACTTACAAAGAACCAACGTTTGGCTCAAAATGGCGGAGTCCCGGATAAAGCAGGAGGGCGAGATTGGTCCAGGCTATGATGACGTAAAGAAACAACTCGAAGATCATCAGGTAAGTGCCACTTATGTACAGATTCTCTAAATAATTCTTTTGAGTACGTTTAGAGCGAAGGGTAACTGTTCAACTTCATTAAAAACATTATTATATATCTCTTTTTTTCAAACTTCTTTCAGGTCTTTCAAGAGGAGCTTAGGGATCACTCGATGATTTCAACGATTTTGGGCGTTGACGTCTCAGATCCCGACATCACGCATGGCACCCAGCAGCAAGTTAAGTCACTCAGCGACCGGTGGAGTAAAGTGTGGAACTGGTCAGAACAGAGAAAAGCTCAATTGCTAAAGGTAAATTTCACTAATGACAATTCAGAGACTTAGTTTGCGAGTTTAACACTGAAGAGCGCTTTTGGATTGGACACCGTAAAACCAGGACTACAGTATCGAAATATTTTTTTTCGTCTTGTCACGAGCGTGGGACAAAGAAAAAAATAACCGCACCTGGTTAGCTCCAATTGGTTAGAGCGCCAGATTATGTTGTGCGGGAGGTCGAGGGTTCGAGCCCCGGCCGGACCAATACTCGTGGTCTTAAAATAACTCAGGAGAATTTGCTACCTTTCTATAATATCAAGAAATAGATAGATATTCTAGTCTTCTCGGATGAGGACGAATAAAACCGTAGGTCCCGTCTCCTGTGGGGCTAGGGGTAGGAGACGTTAATTTCCCACGCACGAGATTACTGTGTGGTAGATGTCCTCCCCGGGGTGGAATGGTGGGTACAAAGAGGTTAGGTGTCAATTGGGACGAAAGTTATGTTCCTTTCTCCTGCCATTCCCGTGGCGAACAAATTAAATTCCTAAATCAAATTCCTAAATTCTGAGTCTCGACGAGGAATCGAACCTTATGCCTTGGGATTCCCCGCTCCGATGCTCTACCACTGAGCCACAGAGACTGGTAAGTAAGTAACAACTTTATTTACAAAGGGCAACACATAAAAGTTAAAAACTGACGAACCAGTCGCCCTCTATCCTAAGTTAAAAATTAAAAACTATTTACACTTATAAGATAATTAAAAAAAAATCTAAAACTGGGTATGCACAACTAAAAACCAAGCTAAGAGTTCTTGGATAAAAAATATTTTCGAGCAGAAGATTTAAAAGAGCCATTGGAGTCTTTCTTGCGAATGTCTAAAGGGATGCTGTTCCATAGTTTTGCTCCACTGGCTTGAAAAGTTCGCCTCCCTTCCGTTTTTCTATTATAGGAGTCAATGTTGTGGTTGGTCAGTCGATGGTGTTCAGCAATGTGATTGCTGACATCACCTTTCCTCGTCGCCCGTCTGTGTTCAGTCAGTCCGCGCCTTTTCAAAACGAATACGGCTATCGGGTTCAATATTCAAATAATCAATCCCATTATTGCCTTCTTGAAACGGTTAGCGGGTTCCATGTTGAAATATTCAATTCGTTATTGCGCTCCTGAAACGATTAGCGGGTTCATTATTCAAATAATGAAATCATTAATGTAATCCTGAGGGGTACGCTTCACTTAGTTTGACCGTAAAGGATAGCTGGCGGAAAGTCTTCCCCGTTAACAGCAATAACCAAACACCGTTTTGAAAGCGACGCGCAAGCGCAGAATCATAAGCTTAATGCTACTAGATTTAATCATGTCGACATGATTCCACAACATAGTGTGAGCTATTCCCTTTTTCTCCAAGGTTCTAAGTAACTGGCAACGATTCCGTGACGAGCAGTTGATATTATTGAATTGGCTGTCAAACAAAGAGAAAACCCTAAAGGAGATGGGAAGAACAGATCTTAGTGATGGAGATGAAGTAAAAGACCATTTAGAGAAGCTCAGAGTAAGTGTTATTCATAAGCTGACCTCTTCAGCTGTTTGGCCACACCGAAATTTCGTCAAAACTGGGATCAACATTTAAATTTTTCTGACTGTAACACTGGTGCCACTCGACGTTCTTTTGTTATTATTGTTTTTTTTTGTTGTTGTTTCATCTTTAGGTGCATAGAATTTTTTGCAACGTAAATGCACCCATGTTGACTTCACATTTACATATTCATTTATTTTCTGTCTGTTTCGAAAATTAGGTAATAGAAAAAGAGTTGGATGAACAGGGAATACGTCTGCAGTCCTTACACAAAGCTGGAGAAGATTTGTTAAAGAACGTAGACGCAGGTGATCCGGCCGCAAGGGAAATTAAAACTCAGCTGAAAGACTTTGATGATTGCTGGAATGACATTGCAAAACAAGTTATAAACAGAATTCAACAGGTAAAAAACTACGAAATTTCTCGGGAAGTTCACTGAATTAAGACTGATCTATTTTTTTTCCACGTTTGTCTGTTTTTTATTCTGTGGTGGCTATACCTCGGTCTATCCGTTCTTGGTAAATTGACACGCCAGTCGCTAGCCCTAGACTTTGTTTACTCGCCAGTTTGCAGGTCTGTTTATGCGGAGGGCTCCCACTGTACACTAGGTCTGGCGCATGTCCCGTCTGACAGACGGGACGGGGCATGGATATAGTCATTGATATAGTCATTGCTAGAGCTACCGATCTAAGCTACTTTTTATCTATTCTAGCTTGAAAATTCTCAAAGTAAACTTAAAGAGTTTCATTTGGAAATGGATGCCACAAATGAGTGGATGGATGAAACTGAGCTTCTGCTCAAGTCGTACAAGATTGGAATGGATCCAGAGGAAGCTAGTAGGCTTCAAGAAAAGACAGAGGTTTGTTTTAACTGATCAAAAACATAATTTTTTTATTGAGTAAGTTTCCCATACAAGGCCATATCTGCCATCAGTTTTTCATGAAGTAAATGCGACCTACGGGCTTGCATCCCAACCCTTCATACCTGCTGCGATGTCCGCGAATATTTTTAGCTCCTTAGCATTAACCTTTAAGATACATTCCTGTATTTCCTGTCGTTATAATGTTTTAGCCAGGAGCTTCGCCGTTCGCAATGTTTTTTATTGAGTCAAGGCAAGTAGCTTGAGATCATTGTGATTAAGTTACGATCATGAGATCAAGCTTCGAATCAGGACCCGAACGATGATAGCAGCAAAGTGTTCCACTAGAATGACTCTTCTTCCTTCACGGCCGAAAATATTTTTATCACTAACCCTGCAATTGTCGATCTATAATTGCAGATCAAATGTGAAGAGCGGTCCAGGTTCGCTACTAAAGTTGATCGAATCAACATAATCGGCAAAGATCTGGCTGGAGAAATCGATGAACCATCCCATGATGCTATTCAGGAAGAACTACAGCCATTCAATAACCGTTGGAGTGATGTCTCTAATCAACTTGAGCTTTACAGCGACAAGGGTTACCCACAGCCTGGGAACGAGTGCTGCTTCTTGCGAATTATGAGGAAAAAATTAGGAGTGATACACTGATTTGTTACTAGTTACCAGTTCGTTTCGAAAACAGGGTAAAATATTTATTTACCATTCGTTGTTGATATATACGTAAGAACTGGAAGGGTCCTCGAATCTCAGAGTAACGATTGGTGAAGTAACCAAATCCTTTGAAAAGCCTTTTTATTAAGTGATGGACACTTGTCTTTTAAAAGAACTCAGCTGTTAAAGGAATTTTAAATCTAAAACTTTTATGAATTTTACGCTATTTCTGTTGGTAGTAATACTATCCGGCGTTTATAATAACGGTGTTGGAATTGACGCTTTCAAAACATTCATTCTAAGTGGTGTACTACCATAAAGTCAATTATGTGAAGCAGTCCGATGCTTTTACCGTAAAGCTTTTATCGTTAAGAAGGGCACAAATCACATGGCATTAGGTTTTAATTGCGATGAGAGTGCCTTGAAGATTTACGACCTTCTGCCCACGGGAGAACAACGTGTGTAGTTCATTCTATGCTTGCACTGACCGATAGTATTCAACTAATATCAATGAAACACTGTCGGCGTACATTGGCCGTTCAGTATTTGGTACTTAGCGTTTTTTAACGTTTTTTATAATGATGCTTTTTATTTTCTTATGAATTTTTTAATGTCCACGCACGCAGGAACACTGTGAAGACGATTTTAAAGTCTTTAGATCATATTTAAAGCCTGATATTTAAAGTAAATGCTTGACGACTTGAATAAAGTAACTGTTAATTAAGTTGTTATGACGATGTTGTTTTTTTTAACGCGCCAGAAGGATATTGTTGTTAAGTAAGAGGACGAATTTTTCCAGCTTGGCGTGAAAAAATAAAAAATAAGGAGCAGCTCTTCTAAGAAAAGCGGAAGTCTGGTTACTGAACAACACATTTATCTAATTTGCATTATCAAAATTCCTCAGATAAAAAAAAGTTACCAGACTTCTAATTGTTTGGGGACTTATTTGTAAAATTATTTTTTCGATAAACGGCCTCCTCTACCGATTTTAAGTGGGTGATGATCTATGAAACAATTTCGTGTTTAATCCTGGATAACACCTAGGAAATTTTTCCTTTTATAAGGCGAAAAGTTTGACGACACTACGATATTCGATCGCCAAATAAGCATTCAGTTTTCTTAGGAATACGTGGCATCAAAGGCAAGCTCTACATTTTGCTGAAAAGGTGTACCCATATTTCATGGTATTTCAGTGAATATTCAGTGATTCCCATGCGAAATGCCTCCGGTCATTGAACGCTCCACATGACCAAACATGTGATGTGGTCTTGTTAGGTTTTAATCATGTCAGTAAACAGGCCGGAAGACTTTAACCTTCACCTTGATTTCAAATTTGATCTGTGTTCAAATATTTGGTCCGTCATCATCATACTGACGGAAGAGGGTTGTACTTGCCAATCACAACTCGTTCAGATTCTCTTCATTCATTGGCCCCTTGGAGAAGCTGTTTAACCTCTAAGAAAAGATCTCGTTATCATGTTTCCATTGCCAAAAGCCATTGGAAGCACTTGTGACTGGGGCACTTTCCAAAATTATCACGGTCACGTTAGAGGTGACATACAAGTACATCTCGAAAGTTTTTAACAGTCGAATCTTATAAGTTGCCTTGCTGCTATTGAGTTTAAGAAACAGAAGAAGCTGAAGTCATTGTTGACGATGAATGCCCTGCTTTCGTTAGGTGAGTTTTACTTTTGGAGCATATCCAGATTTATGCTCAATAGCGGATTTTCACTTCTCGATGATATCTTATGTAATTGCCTTCATCATGCAGTTAACGTTCAATTGTTTCCACACTCTAAAGTAAAAACGGTTTAACTAGGCTGCTGCATTGTTGCCAAGCTTGTCACAGGGAAAAATTAGGTTCTTACTCAAACAACTCCTAAATTACTTGTGACCATTTCCTAGAAAAAGAAAAGTGACGATCGAAGCAAATATCGGTAGTTCCAAGAAGGGAGTCTCTACTCCTGTGACCGCAAAATTCATATCTATCGTTTGAAGCTTTTCAAATTTCAACTCGATCAAACTTAAAGACTATTATTTTTTTCGCTGATGGAGTTTGTTTCTAGTTTCTAGAGGGCATTTTTTACAGCCTTGAGTCCAACGCTAAATTGGAATTGAAAATGGAAACATCTTTGCGGAAGTGACGATCCTATCTTCGAGTTATACTAATATAATGTAGTACATATTTAGATGATTCACTTTCATTTTGCATCATTTTTCTACTCTTAGTCCTCGCTCTGGTTACAGTTCAGGGATCATCCCTTCCTGCGTATTTTGTTCCAGTACTTTTTACCTCTTATGAAATTCAAGTCCTACGCGGAGAATCAACAAGAACTTACCATGCAGCCCTCTGTGGTGGTTGCACCTTTGATGGGTTGACAGCTGTAGTTCAAGTAGACTTGTTAAGCAATCCATGGGATATCGATTTGGGAGACTATGTGACTATTTCTGTCGAAGATGAAAATGGAAATGTCATTGCCACTAATTTTGATGGTAGCAAGATGCCTGTGCCAGACTTTAACTTTACCTACTCCGCCAAGTAAGAGTTTCTTGTTTGAATTTCAAACCGTTTCTCTATCTGAAGTGACTTATCTAGTGAGATATCTCTTGGCTCTTTTCACTTTACTCTTGGCATTGTGTGGGGTTATGATGTTGTTGGGAATTAAAAAGCTTCATGCAGCAGGGAAGAGTAATTTAAAGTCATTTACCTTCGGATGTCAATGTCAAGCTTTATAAAATCATATTAAGAAAAGTATATCATGATTTGTGTCCTAACTTACTAAATCATCCTTGGCTTTTCAAAAAATAGTAGGATCCTTTACAAAATAATTAGTGGTAATGAAACTTTTTATATCACTTCTCTGAACTTGTTTTTGGAGCCAATTGTGTAACTTCTTTGCCCATAAGGATTAAAAGGAAACAATGTGGTCATAACGAGAAGAACTAGTAATTATGTAGAAAGGCTGATAGTTTCTAAAGAAACTGTTTGGGGTTGCGTCGGTGGGGGTAACGAAATCATTTAAATATATCAACAAAGTTGAAATGGTAAATTGGCCACCGTTACGATTATAAAAGCTGACGTTTCGAACGTTAGCCCTTCGTCGAAGCGAAGGGCTAACGCTCGACGAAGGGCTAACGCTCGACGAAGGGCTAACGCTCGACGAAGGGCTAACGCTCGACGAAGGGCTAACGCTCGACGAAGGGCTAACGCTCGACGAAGGGCTAACGCTCGAAACGTCAGCTTTTATAATCGTAACGGTGGCCAATTTACCATTTCAACTTTGTTGATATATTTAAATTACTCAGTAATTATGTATATATGAACATCAACGTTAACCTTGCTTCACCTTCATGATGTCGACAATACTGTAAAATCAAATTATGCCACATTTTACGGTAGTTTACCAAACAGAACAAGGACTGAATCAAGTTCAATTGCATCCTCCTTTGCCGTGATGACTGAATAATCACTTTTATTTTAGGTATAAAGACTTGTTTCTTCAAGTCAAAACAGGACCGGCCCCACTGTTTACATTCACATTAGGCGTTTTGTTTGATTCCAAAGCCCGGGTGTATGTGCCAAATCATTGCGTTCCCAGATGGCAGATGACAACTTCGGAGCACGCGGTGTCGCAGAAGTACAAGCAAGGAAATGATACAAGTTTGTTAAGCTATTTCCTTTCACTTATTATTCTTTATAGCTTTTATTCTTTCATTGTCTATTTTGTTGTAACAATATTTTTCTTTCAAGTTAATTTTTTCTCCGAATCTTTTAATTTTTATCCGCCTTTTGAACAACTTTTTTGCGACTTCTGCATAGTTGGGCCAGTACCTACTTCTTGTATATACATATCTTTTTGTTTATTTTTGTTTTTGTTAGTTGCTGTGCTTACCTCTTAGATCTTACCGGATTCACCTGGCATTTTCCACATATTGTGGACTTTTTACTCGGAGTATTGGTCCTTTACCTCAAATTTAAAAGTAGAAATGACAACATTTTTATAGCAATAAAAGAAAATAATAATTAAAACGAATATAATTATAACTGTACAGTGTAACGGTGATAAGCACAAATATGGAAGACACAAACAATAACAATGACGATGTCGCGTTCCCGATGCCGCAGACACGTGGTGTTGNAAAATTAAAAACTATTTACACTTATAAGATAATTAAAAAAAAATCTAAAACTGGGTATGCACAACTAAAAACCAAGCTAAGAGTTCTTGGATAAAAAATATTTTCGAGCAGAAGATTTAAAAGAGCCATTGGAGTCTTTCTTGCGAATGTCTAAAGGGATGCTGTTCCATAGTTTTGCTCCACTGGCTTGAAAAGTTCGCCTCCCTTCCGTTTTTCTATTATAGGAGGGGCACACTAAGTTATATGTATATATAAGTTCTCTGTGACTCAGAGCAAGAAAAAGGTATGTACTCCAAACCGTACGAGCCAATGAAAATATACTTGCATACATAGAAGCAATTGAGTTCTGTTTTGCATATGATATGTCTAAAAAGTAATGCAAGTTTCTTGAAAGAGACTACATAGCGTACCTGAGCAAACCAATGTATTTCCGGATTCCTTTTGAATTTAATTGAAAATCTGTATACAGGAGGGCTGAACTTGAGTAGGTCAGTTGCAATTTCGAGAATTAATTAGATCCGAATCAAACTGACAAATATAACTTATTTAAGTTGTTTCGGTTATTTTCCTCAGTTTTATGGCTTTACAGTCAAACTAAGTGAAGCGTACCCCTCAAGATTACATTAATGAATTGATCCTCTGGATATTGAACCCGCCAGCAGATTCAAGAATGCAATAATGAATTGATTATTTGATTATTGAACCCGGTAGCCGTTTCACGAATGCAATAATGATTGATTATTTGAATATTGAACCCGATAGCCGTATCCTTTTTGAAAAGGCGCGGATCGTTGTTCAAATTAGAAGTCCATTTCTGAAATCCAATGAGATTGTTCTATTTGACGAGGAATCCTGAAAACGAACAAACTGCACTGTGAAAACACTTCGAAAACAGTCGATCGCAAATGTTAACGAAATAAAAATAGTCTTACGATGGCTTCGCCCGTAAACTATTTTGTTCGACCATGAATACACACAAGAATTTCTATAATTTGGATATATCAACAAAGTTGAAATGGTAAATTGGCCACCGTAATGATTACAAAAGCTGACGTTTCGAGCGTTAGCCCTTCGTCGGGGCGAATGGCTAACGCTCGACGAAGGGCTAACGCTCGACGAAGGGCTAACGCTCGAAACGTCAGCTTTTATAATCGTAACGGTGGCCAATTTACCATTTCAACTTTGTTGATATATTTAAATTACTCAGTAATTATGTATATATGAACATCAACGTTAACCTTGCTTCACCTTCATGATGTCGACAATACTGTAAAATCAAATTATGCCACATTTTACGGTAGTTTACCAAACAGAACAAGGACTGAATCAAGTTCAATTGCATCCTCCTTTGCCGTGATGACTGAATAATCACTTTTATTTTAGGTATAAAGACTTGTTTCTTCAAGTCAAAACAGGACCGGCCCCACTGTTTACATTCACATTAGGCGTTTTGTTTGATTCCAAAGCCCGGGTGTATGTGCCAAATCATTGCGTTCCCAGATGGCAGATGACAACTTCGGAGCACGCGGTGTCGCAGAAGTACAAGCAAGGAAATGATACAAGTTTGTTAAGCTATTTCCTTTCACTTATTATTCTTTATAGCTTTTATTCTTTCATTGTCTATTTTGTTGTAACAATATTTTTCTTTCAAGTTAATTTTTTCTCCGAATCTTTTAATTTTTATCCGCCTTTTGAACAACTTTTTTGCGACTTCTGCATAGTTGGGCCAGTACCTACTTCTTGTATATACATATCTTTTTGTTTATTTTTGTTTTTGTTAGTTGCTGTGCTTACCTCTTAGATCTTACCGGATTCACCTGGCATTTTCCACATATTGTGGACTTTTTACTCGGAGTATTGGTCCTTTACCTCAAATTTAAAAGTAGAAATGACAACATTTTTATAGCAATAAAAGAAAATAATAATTAAAACGAATATAATTATAACTGTACAGTGTAACGGTGATAAGCACAAATATGGAAGACACAAACAATAACAATGACGATGTCGCGTTCCCGATGCCGCAGACACGTGGTGTTGTGTACCGGAGTTCGCCAGTATAACCACAGTGTTTAACTTCAGACAAGTAGCAGCATCAAACTCTTTATTCACTTAAGCTGGCAGTCTTTGTACAGCACAGGCGGTAAAAACTATAGAACGGATACATGAAGCTTCGATATAAGGAAAACCGAAAAACTTCGAAACTAGAAATGATAAAAATGAGGAATATTACAAGCGTAACTTACATCGGATCTTGACTTCGGGGTAGAAGAACTCCTAAACTCCGTTCGGCTCCGAAATGGTTTCGCTACAGTGAATCCTCGCAACTGGACTACTTGCTAATAGAAGGCGAATTTAGATCTTACACTTTGACATAGGGGAAATAGAAATGAACAGTGCTTTGTGTAGCTAGCTTCGAGCGGATATTCGCTAGTCACGGAATAGAAATCAAACAAAGCGCGCTAACAAATTTAATAGAAAKTCATTGAAAGTTTCTTAGTGTCTTTGTGCTAAAAACGGAAGAGTTACATAAGTAAAAAAGATTAGAGTTCGTATCCGTAAACGTGACAGACGATGACGATGACGATGACGATGACGGTGAAGTAACAATGATGATAAGTAGGAAAGTAGCTGAAAGCTATCGCATGAAGTAGTATAATGGTTGTATAACTCATGGGATACTAAGCAACTCTATTTCTTCTCACTTAGCTGAACTTTACCAAGTTTTCAAAACCTCAACGACCCAGAAAGTTTCAACTCACGAATTCAAGTTGTTCCAGCTTGAATACTGCTTCGTCAAACCAGGAAGCTACAACATCATCATCACTGTCATCAATGAGAATCTATGGCCAGGGTTTGCCACCTATGGCTGCACAATGACTTACATAAAGCAATATGGAAAGTGTGGCGTGCTGACCCCATACAAAGATATATCTGGATTGCCCGTGAATGTTGTGCAGATAAATATAAACGAACCAGCTGACTATGGGCCAATACAAGTCCTTGTGTTGGGTGAAGGGCAATACAACCAAACTAACAATTTCACAATTGCTGCTCGTTTCCTTCAGCTACCATGATCCACAGAGAAGACAGCTCAGGAAGAGGCGGCTTTTATCAACATTTAATCTCATAGCCATAATCGCCATAATTTCCTCAGTTGTTTTCCAAAAAGCAATAGTCCTTTTCTTGTGCGCCAGTGACAATTAACTATATCTGGAGTTATGATACGGGATACTACATCACAGTGACTGTTAAAGATACTGATGGCAATGTCATCGCTAATAATCTTGATGTCAGCGGTATACCAGTACCGGACTTCAACTTCACTTACGTCGCCAAGTAAGTTTTGTGCCATGACTGGAGTTTTAATTACCAGTCAAGACATAGTTCTTCGTGCGTTATTTTATCCACAGATCAAAATGTGATATATTCATAATAACAATAAAAAAACAATTTTAATGCGTCATACGCTTAGTGTTACATAATGAAATGACACTAGCTAAGTTAGAATCAAATTTAAAAGTAAGTACCATAACATATGAATAAAAATTTTAAAATCTAATAGTTTAAGTCAGGATCATAAAACACAATCCAGAATAGCAAGTAATGCAAGGAAGTAGAAACGGTAATCATATGTACAAACAGTAATATAATAATAACTTAAAAGTTAGGTTAGGAGGCCCAAACGGTCAGTTTTCTTAATCCTGTTTTTGAAGCACAGCTTATATATGATCAGATTCCTTCGCGAAAATTAACTTACAGAAACTTACCTAACTCCTATAGCTAACTAGTGGCTTCGTAGCCAGTTCGGTGGTAGTGTCGAAGTTGTATCTGAAATGCGGCCAGAAATATTTCGATCTTTTTAAATCTGGAAAGACGTCGACATATCAGTCGCTTGTCAAAATGATTTACTTCATACATACTATTGGTGAAATAGTAACCTAACAACCTTGTTTCACTTCAGTTATGAGGCTCATGACTTCATTTCTCATAAATGGCTCATCCAACCTGACTGACAAGTTTTTTCCTCTTGTGCGAAAATTTTAAAGTGCTTGACTATTTCTCTATTTCGCTGTGACGAAGGGCTAACGCTCAAAACGTAAGCTTTTTAACTCCTTACGTTGGCCCATTTCAGTACAGTTTCAACTTAGTAAAAAAAACAAAAACAAAAGAAACCCAGATATTTCTCTATTTAGGTACAAAAACTTGTTCTTCGAAGTTGTAACAGGACCAGCTGCCACCTTTGTATTCACGTTATCCCTAACGTTCGATTACACGGACCGCGTTTATCCTCTGAGCGAATGCACCCATCGATGGCAAATGACGACCTTGGAAAACACTATGTGGCGGAAATACCGAGAGGGAAATAATACAGGTAAATTATATGTGATTCTTAAGTTCATTCACAGATGTCCCCGTAAACCAATACCATAATAGGGACCTTCAGTGGTCAGGATGGCAACGCCGGGATTAATGTCAATTAAAACAAAGAATTTATATTTTTAGTTAGAATTTCACGAATTTCTGGATGTATATGCTTTCTCTTGCGACGCCACACCTAAAATTCAGCATAACGTATGTGAGCTAGCATCGTTGAGTTCGAAATGAAAACTTTGATTTCAGGTAGACTTTCTATGATTTGAGGAGATTTCTTACCTACTGCAGCACCCAACAACACGAATAATAGTTGCTATTTCTTTTGTCACAGCTCTACTTCAGCCGGTTTTCAAAACAGCCATTACTCAGTCAATTGAAACTGAGGAATTTAAATTGTACCGCCTTGACTATTGCTTCGGGGACAACCTTACCTACAAAATCGCCGTTAGCGTGATAACAGAGGATCAAAAGTCAGGATTTGTCTCTTATGGTTGCAAGAAGACGTACATGATAGCACATGGAAGATGTGATGTGCGCACTCCATTTCGTGACATATCCGGAGGCCCCGTAAATCTAGTGGTGATGGACCTGGAGAAACCAGCTGACTATGGACCCGTTCATGTCCTTATAAGTGGTGATGGGCGCCACCATCAAAGTAACCACTTCACCCTTGCAGCCTCGGTGCCGTACTGAGACAATAATAGACCCGTAGACCCGTAAGG